TTATTGGCGGCGTCTGTAAATGATCGAGTCTGGACCAGAAAATCCAGTGATCAACAGCATGAGCATCGATCCGCGCAATTGGGAACCGATGACATGTGTTAACCAAGCCAGCGAGCCTGACCACGCGATCCTGTTAGTCGCCTCTTACGACAAGCATGGGGTACTGAAGGCTCATTCTAACTCGGACCTTCACGGGGGTAGACAAGCATGGGTTACTGAAGGCTCATTCTAACTCGGACCTCCACGGGTTTAATTTGGAAGAAGAAACGTCAGAAACCAAAATGAAGAAGGGAAGCAGTAGATAAATGAGTGTAGATAATTGTAGGTATGACTAAACTGATAGCAAGGAGTATAAATTGATAATGGTTTGGAATTAAGAAGGGGGGAAAAGTCAGAAGGTTATCTTAGCCATTATGTGTGTAGAAGGAGTAGGAGTATAGCTTATGAATTCGGTAGTACAGTTAAGCTGCAGCTGACCAAAATACAGGGTCCTAATAACCAAATTAAAAGACGCTACACTTTAACTGTAAGCATAAACGTTGACCTATGGGGCTTGAAGAGTCGAGGTAGGACGGATGGCGAGTGTGAGCACAGACAATCACTTTGGACTTATGGGTGGTCTCTGTTTTGTCATCACTTGGACTACTTTATATACTGATAACGTACACTGAAGTATACAGCCATGCCATCCTCAAACCTCATGGTACTTGACAGCCCTGACAATCACACGACACAAGCGAGCAGTGCATGATACAGAATGATACGGGCATGTTGGAGTAGTTACAGATATAGTATACAGTTAGAGATACAATTGTGTAATCTGCTTTGAATGTATCGTGACGTCTATGGTGAGTCTATCGGCAGTGTCTGGTTCGTGCAACTTGATCACTTGCCTGTAAGATAGATAAAAGTACTCGTGAGAGACCTTTATCAACTTTGTTCGCACTTTGTTCCTGTAACAATACGTTAAAATCTTGATAGTGTTCTGACACTCGTCCTCTATCTATTACTTGGCAGATTATGTGGTATTTCCAGGCTGCAGTGTGCACACATATCTTAGCTCAGCTATCTCAGCTCACTTACAAATAGCAGGTTATTATGACATAACTTTGTGTCGTTCCACATCAGGCTGCGCATTTATGTTGATGGGCGTCGTACACCCATTTAATCTGTGATGCTACAATTCCTTCAATCGTAGGTTTGAATCCACTATTATCATTCTCAGTTTGTCACCCATATACCCAAGCTTAAAGGGTTACACAAAAATATGGAAGACTAAGCTAGCATTCTGTGATATAGGTGAACATGAACAACTTCTCAAAACAGCATTATATCCACTCCCTTCATTGTCTCACAACCACCATGAGTATGTCGCTGATATGAATTGTGAACCTTTCCAGATAGTGAATGTATGATGACCAGTAACTACGAATGCACACACTTCACCAATAGAAACGCATAAGCCAACTTCAGAAGAATTTATTGCGTTAGTTTAAGAGCAATTATTTTATGTAATTTCAATAATAAAAGGTAAAATGCACAACAGTAGCTGTTGTGTTTCTGTTTATTAGAGTTCATAACTGACCTCAAAATCAGGTCACCAATGGCAGCAATTTCTGCTCGGCACCGTCTCGACACAGACTGGATAAGTCGACGAAGTCACTCTTGCGAAATTCTTCCCTGAAGTTCATCCCGTTGGTGTTCTATCGGGTTAGTTGTGGAGATCCGGAACCCATGGCAAGACATAGATGTTAGAATTGGCAAGGTAGAGGATCGTGACGCGTTCTGTATGTCGGCCCATAACCGGAAGCAGGCGACGTGTAAGGACTGCGTTGATGAACCCATTTGCTGTCAAATTCCACTGAATCACCACTAAATCAGATCTTTGTGCGCTGGATATCGTACCCTACACCATGACACTGACTCCCCCGAATCTGTCAACCTGTCGAATACAGTTAGGGGCAAGACGTTCATTTCTCAGACGGTAAACAAGCTGTCTTCCATCTGGTCGGTGAAGAAGACTCGCCTCCAGTTTTTAAGGTTCCAGTTCCGGACTCTACGACACCAGCGCAAGCGATTGCGCAGATGGAAGTCTCTCAAAACAGGGGACGACAACTTGCCTTCTTGGTCGAATCCCCACTGGACGCAATCGATTCCTGACAGTATGGTCGGAAATTCCTCTCGAATCAAGGATAGCTTGTGCAGTCTCCACGTCTGTGGCAAGACGATACCAAAGTGAGCCGCCCGGATGTAGCGGTCCTGGACTTGGGTGGTAACTCTTGGACGGCCGCTTCTCAGGCGATCTTAGGTGGAATTGGTCTACAGGAAACGATCCCAAAGGCGAGATATGGTGCTCTGGTGAAAGTTGAAATGTCGAGCAAAAGCAGATTGCGACTCCCCAACTTCAAGGCGGCCTATGGCGATGTTTCGATTGGCGGCACTCAGTCGTGGCATGATGATTTCCTCTTTTCCTGGTAAAACGACTGCACAAAACCAGAGGGTTAGGCTCTTGGTGTGGTCACAGACTGACTGGTCCCGTATGGAGAATGCAAAACACAAGCATGAGGCTCTCAGTGATTTTCACTGTAACGCCATGAACTTGCACAAGTGCGTGGATACAGGAGCAGTATACCTGTCCATTATTACACAGATTGTTGTGGTGTGTGGTCCTGTCCATAGAACTCAGGTCACAAATCAGTTGACGTTAAGCAACGTATGGCGCGGAGAGGTCTTGGATGGGTGACTGTGTTTGGACGCTTGACTCATGGGAGTTTCTAGGACTTCAGTCCTTCCCACAGTGAAACATGACTTGAGAGAAGTGTGTTGTCACCTTGGCTTAATGACTTAGTTCGAAATGTGCCTCTGTTCACCCAGCTGTAGCGAGTGAGTGAGTGAGTTTAGTTTTACGCCGCACTCAGCAATATTCTAGCTATATGGCGGCGGTCCCACCCAGCTGTAAATGAGGAACCTGATATGATACGATGGTAGACTGGACCTTGAGCGCCTGACAGGTGACCGGTTGTATTCTCCACACGGAGTGTTCTGTCCTCGTTCACCATGTGTAATAATTATGTCAGTGCTGTGAGCATGGGCAAATGCGCAATATATATGCACTGTTTTTATAATTATTAGTGCTTACAGATTAAGATGAAAAATGCATCCAAATCGTCTGAAGCTGTATGTAGGCCTATTCTAAGGAACTTTGAAAGGCATCATTTTCCATGACGCTCTGGTCTTCTTAAGCTATGTTTGTGCCAAGGAAGGTCATCCACTGACAAGGTGCTGGGCAGTCTCTGTAGATTCATTACACAGTCGACATTTCATACTGATATTTTCTATAAGAATCATATTTAGTCTATTGCGAGTGGGAAGTGACTGGTCCGGGGCAACGAACAGGAAGCCCTCAGCATCACATTTGAGACCAGCCGCCTTCAACCAGGCAGAAAGATTGGTGAATAACTTCACCTGGTTTACTCCCATCGCTCTACCGTCCATCCCATCGCTGTACCGTCCAGCATTACATTGCCATCAACAGAATCAACCTCAATTTTCAGATTCTGTCCAACATTAAGCACGCATAAAATAGCTGTGGAATTCCTTGCTTTCATCATGAGTTTTAACATGCATCACCAGAGGATCATCCGATAAATAAATATGTGCAAACGTACACAATGAAATTCTATTATGAAGATCCTCCACATCAATCAACCGACCGACCTCCACAATTGATTGGCATATATACACGATTGTGAGAGGAATGAGGGTGGTGGGGTCTGTTATCAGACATGATCCGTCTGGTCAGGCGGTCAACACTTGTGTTGTCCAATCGACTACTCAAAGGAATAGGAGAGGACTGGCACAGTTAAAGGCATTGGTGGCCTTGACCCTGTTTCGAGCATTTAGCTCTCAGCTCCAGAATTTCTTTAAGCGAGTTTTATACTTGGCCTGAAGTTTGTCTTGAATTTGGGCATTCTGGTGCTTGTCTCGAACTTGCTTTCCGAGACAGGTGTAGGCCTGATCTTCCACAAGATGCTCAATGACTCTTCTACCCTGTAACTTGACCGATCCACCATTAATCACCTTGCCCCGTTTCAAATAAAGAGTATAACATTTGCCGAGGACCTGTTGTTTCAATTGGTATCTCATTTGGCAATGTCATCCATGCAAGGAGGAGAGTAAGCGGTGTTGGGAATCTATAACGAGGCGGTCCGGGATGGGAATCCTCTGTTTTAGCAGAAAGCTCAAAGGATTTAAAGATAAACCAAACAGAGTCCCCTGGAATATTCCCCGAATAGATTCCGAAGTCTCCACCTGCCCTTGCGAGTACATCTCAGGCTGAGTCGACCAGAACTCATAAATCAAGTAGGCGCTCAGGGAGGTCACTACAATGAGGAGACTACAGAATCTATTCATGAGGGACAGAGTCGTATGCCTTTTATAGTCAACAGAGCACATAGAGAGGTTGCGGGGATTTGGTTTAGCCTCTTCCAATCACAAGAAGTTGATTCTTGCACCCCAATATCCCTTCCTTTCCCCTTCTGCTCTCAGTAAATTATGTCAATAGAAGAGCAGTAAGATGACACAAGGTTTGTCAAACACCCTGTGAGCTTGAAGATTTTACATTGAGTATTCAAACATGTGATAGGGCGGAAGTTTTTGGGATCAGTCAAGTCTCCTTTTGGGAAGGAGTAGTGTATTATTATGATTATTTTCATCAGTAAAGTCAGTGCATATGACTGGGATATGCTCTTGATTTTGTCGAAGTCAGTATTTCCCACACTAAGACTGGACAACACAAGCAATAGGCTGTCGGTATTGTCAAGGTCAGGGTGATATACTAGCAAACTGCATATTATATTGATAATGATCACCTACTTTGGCTCCCTTGCACAACTGATAACCTGAAAAGCATGACTGGCTGTTTGTAATCACGTGGCATGTATTTAGACTTTGTACTATGAGTTGACCTTCATATTCAATATTTCATTCTAGCTGGACACAGAGGATCAGAAGGCCTGACCGACAACACCGTCCCCAATTCTGGCTGGACACAGGACACCAGTAGGCCGGACCGACAACACCGTCTCCCATTCTGGCTGGACACAGGACACCAGTAGGTCGGACCAACAACACCGTCCCCATTCTAGCTGGACACAGGACACCAGTAGGCCGGACCGACAACACCGCCTCCCATTCTGGAGAAACCAACTAGCCTGAGGAAGAATTTAACTGAGTGGGCCTGCTGCAAACGACGCACAAAAAATCAGGTGACTAATTATTTTCTCATTCATTTCCGCTATCTGGTCAAACTAGAGTTATGTAATTTGGTTAGCAGTGTTCCCTCTCTGTATGGGTGCGCTTAGTCTCTCGTACAGACCCTGAAGCAAATATATCCAAGAAAGCCCACGCAAGTCTAGAAAATGTGGCAAGTCTAGATTTCCACAGAGAAAGTCTCAGGGATCCTTTTCATTATATATATATTTTTCTACTATGAACTTTTTTCAGTAAAATATGTTCATTTCAGAGACTAGCTGTTAGTCTAGGATGCGCTATGAACCACATGTTGTTGTACATAGAGGGTTATTGTATACAACCCAGGGAGTTGAGATTGATAATGCGATGTGCCGTTGAGATTGACATTCAATGATCGAGGGAAAAATACCCAGCGCCTTGAGCATGCACTAGTGCGTGGATATGTGCGCTATATAAATAAATATCCTATATTAATTATTGTACGGAGTCATCCACACACTGATGCCCTAGAGTTAGGTAATATGGTTAGGACTCTTCCCTCTGTGTATTGATGCGCTATCAACTATACGTTGTCGTACATAGAGGGTTATTGTTAAGAGACATCCACAGGTTGTACATATAGTATTACTCTTTAGTCCAGGATCCCTAAATAAAGAAACATGTATACATTTGTCAATGCAGCGCTTAACCTGGGTTTACTGTTTGGCGACACTACCTTACATATACCATACAGCTTACATGTGGAGTTAACTGCATAGCAACATGCGACTGTAAGCACACATGAAGGTTGACGCACTGGGTAACTCGAACATGTCACTGAACATAGCAGACTGTGTGGTGGTGTCCTCATGTATCATATCCAAGCTCCAGGGCAGGGCTTTACGCCATGCAGGTATGTGCGTCCTGTGTATCCTGTGCGTCCTGTGCGTCCTGTGCATATACACGTAATTAATGAGCATGGAAGAAATATGCAGACCTCGAACCCCTCGAACAGCCGGGGAAGAAAGTATAGGTTTTTCAAATCGTTACGGTTTGGCCGTTTTCCATCAAATTTGATGCAAATGTATGATAACGACTGGCAGTGTTCGTCATACATGAAACAAATCGCCAAAACGCATTTTGTGGCCCCGATTTCGGATTTCATGAAAAGATCGTGCGAAAAATCAGTATAAACGGGCTTGTCGAACACTTCAATATCACTGCTCATAAAATCACACATAGAGAATGCCAAGGTTAACCCGTGAAGAAAGAGAACGAGATGGCCCAGATGGGTGTGACGCACGTCCACATAGCGAGGACGTCCCATTGCATACACCACTGACAGTGTCTAGACTTCTCCATCGTCACAGACAGACCGGGGCGACTTTCGACAGGCCCGGAAGTGGAAGACCACGAATAACGACACCACAGGAATACCGCTATATTCGGACGATTCATCTAAGAAACCGATTTGTGACGGCAATGGAAACGGCACTTGGTCACCGCATCAGTCGACGCACAGTGTCACGGAGATTACGTGCAGCGGGAATTCGTGCTTATCGTCCCTTCCATGACATGACCTTGACCCCTCAACATCGACGTAACAGACTTCAGTGGGCACTTCGAGTGTACAGGTGGAAAGTCCGTAATTGGCGGAGGTTGCTGTTCACAGATGAAAGCCGCGTCGGTCTGTACCGAACAGATTGTAGGGAACGTTTATACAGACTTCGTGGTGAGCGTATTGCACGCAAATGTATACGGGAGGTCCATCCGTACGGTGGCGGTGGCGTCTTGGTATGGGTGTCATCGACGATGACGTAAAACACCTCTGGTCATCATGAATGGAAATCTGAACGCTCGTCAGTATGTTCATCACGTTCTTCAGCCAGTTGCACTGCCGTTTGTACACAATCAACAACAGGGCTTCATGTTTCAACACGACAATGCGAGGCCTCCCGCTGCAAGAGCAACTCGGGACTTTGACAACAGAACAAAGTTGATGTTTTACCATGGCCAGCCTGCTCTCCAGAGATGAATCCGGCTGGACACTTGTGACACAACCTGGATAGACAAAACAGACGTCGTCGACCAATTCCACAAGACCAACAAGAGCTGGAACGTGCACTTAGGGAAGATTGGTAACAGACACCTGCTAACGCCAGCAGACGTCTGATTACGTCAATGAGAAGCCGCATCTATGTATGTGTTGATATGGCAGGAGCCATACACGTTATTGACTCAAACCATACTCCACGGTGTTGTGCTATCGACATTAATTATCGACACTGGCTTTAACAATCTGTCACAATTCCACCACTAGTGTGTTTAAAGTCAAACATAAGCGTTCGGCTTCAAATGAAATTTAGAGACTATCAATTCGGTCTAACATTCATCTAATTTCCAAACACAGTACGTTTATCTCCGAAATATACGCTTCTCACCGGAAATCTGGTACCGGAAGAAAGCTGGGCCCCGACTCGCAGTGAAGCAACTGTTCCAATATTCCTTGATTCAAACGCCCAAACACAACAGCCTAGAGAGGTGAGGTGAGGTGAAATTGGGTTTAACGTCGTGCTTGAGAATATTTCGCTCATATGACGACGTGCATACGTGTGTATGTGTATGTGCGGCTGCTTGTACTAGCCCAGACTTAAGCTGGTTTTATAGTGCTAGGCCACTGAGATACCATGCCGCAGTGAAGCATGAATACCCGACTCAGACACATTATACTGACTCCGAGCCGACCAGTCCTTGTTGTACCCATTAATGCCGAACGCTAAGCAGGGACCAACAAGTACCATATTTTAACGTCTTTTTGGTATGACGCGGTCGGGGAAACAGCCTAGTGCATGTGGAAGACTTTCCATGCAGCTTGTGGCAACGTTTGAAGCAGACATATAGAAGACAGTAAGCATAATTTGTACTTGTAACATGTGATTTTCCTGTTACAGACATACAAACCACCTGACATAACAGAATGGACCTTTCCCACGTTGCTGTCCTTCAGAAGAACTACACATTTCTGAAGGAGAACCTTCAGGTCGACCCTGTGCTGGATGCCTTGTATGAGAAATGTATCTTCACACAGACAGACTATGGCAGGTGTAAATACGCTGGGACAGAGAAATGTGAGCTGGTGTTGGAGACGCTTAAAAAGAAGGGAGTAGAAGGTTACAAGACGCTCTGTGCTGTCCTCGATACTACACAGCCTTTCATCAAGGACATACTTGATAAGACCTCAAATGAAGAAGGTAGGCAAACCTTCTAAGGGTTTCTTGATGTACATACAAATATTTGCTAATCATTTAAGCATCATAGACAGGGAATTGCCAGCTCATCAAGTGAAGTAAGACATGGAATTTGATAACTGCATATATATATATATATATACTTAACACTTGTGCATTAATATTGTTGTGAAAGTATTGTAGTTTACTTCATTACAAAAGGCCTTTTTATGCTAAATGCTTCCATCATTCATAATTATCCAGAGTTATCACAATAATTTCAGTCATGTTCTTTCCTTCAAACTACGTATCATGTGATATGCAGAAAATGGATACCTTTGGTCTGTCAGTCTGTAAATTAAGACCTGTTGTTATGATCACTGCCCTGTCTTGAATACAAGCGGACTGGCGACAATGGCGGCTTCATTATTGACTGCTTCTTCTATACATTTGAGCATTTCGGCACACTCAGTGTCACCTACCAGGAGTTCCCCTCGTCTTCTGTCACACCGCCTGCCTCCTATATACATGCTGGTGGAATCCTGCATGCAACAACCTGTCTGTGACCTATCCACCAATGATTACCTCTCCACTGTTGGTCAGTGTGTTTCCTGGGAAAGGCGGTTCACTCTGGATGACTATAATGCATACCAACCGTTCCTTTTGTCTTCATGCATTGTCGGGGCGGTGGGGTAGCCTAGTGGTTAAAACTTTCGCTCGTCACGCCGAAGACCCGGGTTCCATTCACCACATGGGTACAATGTGTGAAGCCCATTTCTGATGTTCCCCGCCTTGATATTGATCGAATATTGCTAAAAGCGGCGTAAAACCCAGCTCACTCACTCACTCACTCCTGCAATCGTCAAAGAATGAGCGAAAGCACATCAACGGTCTTGAAAATGCTGGCTGTATCTGGGTTTACGCTTCACTTTATGTACACCAAGAATACAAATGTCAAAGATCTTCTGTCAAGGCGACAACAATCCACCCCAACAGAATGACAGTTTCATGCCAGTATGATTTCCTGCCCTGGGCCACAAGTGCACCCGCCCAACATCCTCAATGGCTGCATCAAGCAGTATTCAAAAGTCGCTGGCTCAAGCTACCAAAAGAGGTGATAATATCAGTATCATGTGCAGCCACTACACACTGGGATGACTGATTGAAATGTCTTCTCACAGACAGAATCAGACACTGTTTCTGTATTTCAGGCTGTCTGTTTCACTCCATCGAGTGCTTGTTCCTTATCAGCATGACCCCGTACAGCGTAACTCTCTGAAGTAAACAACGTCCTGAAATGTTCCAAACATACCCAGTAAGATTCTGGTCTTGACTTTGTGTTGGCCATGGTAGAGATGTCATTGACTCCATACGTAGGCAACCCATCACTGCACTTCTCTGGATCCAAGTGCTCTCATGTAAACCGGCCTTGTGAGCACAGGATATTCTATTTTACAGGTAGCCCAGATCTCGTCTATGTTAACAAGGACAAACTGGAAGCTCAGTACAAAAACGAACTTGCTAAAAAAGATGGAGAGATAGCTGACTTGAAAGCTGTAAGTTGTGATGATACATTGCAATTTGGCATTCTTATAAGGCTTAAATGTCATTTGTCTTGTGAATAATTGATAAGATTATGACTGGACACACGTTTAGTGTTTCCCAACGGTGTAAACCTAAAACATACTCTGTCAGCAACTTTGAAGGTTATATATTATGGCGTCTAATCTGATAAAATGTCAGTAAGTTTGTTTTAGAAGTCATTATTTACTTACAATGCTTTCACGTTTGTTTACAGGCAATAGAAGGACTTGAGCAACAAATTGAACAAAACAACATTGATCACGCTAAACTGGAGGAAAGATTGAAGAAAGAAAGTGATGAACACATGACAGAGATAGAAGGGAAGAACGGGGAAATTGAAACTCGTAAGCTGATACTTATTGTTTACAATATATATTCCGACAAACAGATATGAGAACTAATGACCTGGATGTACATGTAGTTGACATGGATATTTATCTCATCAAAGTATTGCATCTGAAGGCAACATCAGAAGCATGTGCACACAGAAGCCAAAATGTGTGCGGCCATGGAGTAACTCACAATCGCAAAATGCAACCAGGCAACTCAGAGACATGGCCAGACACAATCACGAATTGTGGGAAGGACGGGGATGGGGGGGGTGGGGTGGGGGTGGGGATGGGGGTAGGCTTTCACCACTGGCAGAAAAACGTTAGCGACGAAGCGAGTATGTCACCACACTGATTTGGCTTTGTGAATAGAGATTTGTTTCGCTGGGAATGTGTTGACAGAAGAATACATCGATGACGATGTCAAACCTAATCGTTTGTATGTCGATACCGATTATCTCTAATAAAATTAAATTGGATACTGATATGCGACTGGCCGACTCTCATGATGTCACCTTTACTAAGATGTCATCATTTACTTTATTTCGTCAATATAATATAGTAAATAATGTTAAACATAATTTTTATTCGCCATTTAGAAAACAGTTTATATTGGCAGCGTCGATGGTGATGCTGTAATATTGCTGTTTGTCATATTTGGGGAAAGATATGAGGACTACATCTACAATAAAAAATGACAATCGATTTCTGGAATGTGACAAACTGATATCTGGTTCAATCCTCGCATTTTTGTCGTTTCAGTGAAGACAGCGTTGTCAAAGTCAAATGACGAGTTGCAGCAGTCTCAAGCAAAATGTGAAAACGTGGAGAAGGTGGGTAGATGTAATGCTATGGGATGTAAGTCTTAATCTAGACAACGTCTGAAACAAAGAGGAACAATTACATGCACAGCATAATAATAAAACGACAAATGAGATGCAGCGATATCTGTGGTTTCAGACACTGCGGGAAGAACAGGAGGCATATGATGCTTTAGTGGGTGTTCCAAGGTCACAGTCTCCAGACAGGGTGGGCAATACAGAGACAATCCAACATGCAGGTACATTAAGACCAAGAATCCGTCATGTATATTTATAGTCTAGCAGAAAACGTTCCAGGACGGTGGAGACTACAACTACAATCGTTTTCTAATTTGGCACATTTGCATGGCTAGGTGGCTGTTCCAATTAGTCGCCATACACCCTTGACAGTTAAGATGTACTTGTGTCTTGACACAATGATAACTTATATTGACAAAAACTTTTATCATTAACTCATAATTCATGAATTCAAAATTCACAATGGTAGAGCCAATAATCCCATCATTCAATCAAATACTTGTAGTTTTAGTAAGGTGAGTAAAGACCGTCACGAAAAGTTACCAGACCATAACATTAATTACAACAAACATGTGAGTGTATGTGTCTAACTACGTTTCGTGTTATTTTGTGCTGTTAGGTTCCACTGAGACAGTGTGCCAGTTTTCGACTGAGTCCTGTTGTGATGAGAGTCAGCTTCGTCTTCTGCCATGCCTTCATTCTGCCTGCAAGCCATGCCTTGATCACCGAGCTGCACAGACAGGAATGGAAGAGGAATGCATCCACTGTCCTTCCTGTGGCCGCGAGGTCACCATGGAGCAGACAACAGTAGATCATGTCAGACGCAATGAAGCTGCCTACTCTGAAAATGTTGACAAAGGGAAGAAATGCAACTACACCGAAGAAGATCATGCTACACCGGCTGTGAAGTTCTGTCACGAATGTAATGTACGCCTCTGTTCCGACTGTCATAAAATGCATGACAAACTGAAACCGAATCGAAATCATAGGGCGAGTGACATCAACCAGGCAGAGAATATCTCCATGAAGCAGTGGCTGAAGGAACGTAATTGCAGAGACCACCCTGACAACAAACTGCAGCTGTATGACCACACGTGTAAGAAAGCTGTCTGTCTTGTTTGTGCACTGCGGGCCCACAAGGATCACCGCAGAATGAAGACTTGAATCAGGCCTATGACGTAGCGAAGGGTCAGCTGGAGGAGCAAGTACAGAAGCAGCAGCATAAACTGAAAGATGTCACTGACAGGATTGGAAGGGTCACCAGTCACCAAAATCAACTGGCAGAGACGCAGAGAAAGCTGAAAGACGACATGACGGCAGTCTGCAAAAGTGTTGCTGCAAAGTTCCTTCATCGACAGAAACAACTCATGGAAGAACTTCAAATGAGTCTCCAAGCCCCAAACGAAATGGTTGAAGAGAAACTTGACACTTTACATGACGTCCATACTTCAATAGTATCGGCGATAGACTACACCCAGAGAACACTTGAATCTACAAGACGAGAGGAGCTCATTACTCTCACAGATGTACTGCAGACGAAATATGATGACAATATGAAGAGGGAGCTTCCAGAAGATGACACACAAGACACAAGAATCCTTCTTACTTTTCAAGGCCAGAGAGCTCTGGAGGAACTTATCGACACATTTGGTGGTCTCGCCTCCAGTCTCAACATGGATCATATTCCAGATTCCCAGCCTACTTCACAAGGTGAATATAAATCAAGACAGTTTACGTTTAGATAATACTCACAGGGAATTGGCCAGTGTCTCGTTTGACTAATTGATTTGAACCTTTGCGTTTATGATTCATTCAATTTGAATAGTTTTGCATAAAACAGAATACTTGTTCTCAACTATATTTATGTTTCACGTATGCAAAGAAATATAATACTTTCAACTGATTTAATTGTGAATATAAGTTGTAACGTGACAATTAATTATCGATGTCGTTTTAAATTGATCTTGTCTGTATTCTATTTCAGATCTGCTGACGACGATAAGGAGGACGAGAAACCATCATGGTATGATGTCATGTTACAGTAAATATAGTCTCCAATTATCCGCACATGTATCCATGTTTATATATATGTGTGCGCGCATGTGCCTGCGCGCATTTGTGTTTATGTATGTAAGTGCATGAGTGCGTGTGTGTGCTTGCGTGCGTCCAACTGTGTGTGTGTGCGTGAGTTTGTGTATGTGTTTGTGGTTGATGGATAGACAGATGCATGTATGTACACACACATACTGTGCTCAACAGCTGATCTGTTTAATGCGAGTGTTGTTTCAGATGCATGAAGGGCGGTGGCAACAGCTACAACAGATGATCCATCGCATCCGAGGTACATTGCGACACCATGGTGGGGACTACATAGCAAATACCACAAGCAACTTTCAAACCTTACAGTGTATAATAACCAAGTGCTTAAATCATCATTAACTGAAAATGTAAATGTGTTTTCTACCGACCTAATGTTACGTTTTATTGACATAATCTTCTATAAACACCAACAATCACATCCTTGTATCAAATACAATACAAACATATGTTTTCTTCTGTGAACAGAACTCAAAGGATCAGACAGCAGAATGGCGAGATCACAGGAACCTGAACAGCTAACATCACAAGAAGTGCATGGCATTGTCACAAATGTACGTCCAATATTTCTATGAGGATTCTGGGTTTCATCAGTACTCACTTCATGTCGCAAGGGACGTCACAGTGGATTGAGAGGTCAAGCCATCATTTCAAATGAGTGCATGTCCTCGTACCATGTAGGTAGTTAGGTCATAACTCCCAATCTCAGTCACAAGTATGTTTGTCAGGAACCTGGATAAACTCACAAACACTTTCAATAATGTATGAATATGCATTCTCTGAATTTATGGTACATGATATGGATGAAAGTCAACCGAATAAGGTTATACACAGACAGTTTTCTGTATTAATGCATGAGTAGTGTACACCTTTACTTTCAGCTCATAACCTGAGCATTCATCCCCGGCGAGACAATTCCACGTGGTATTACGTTGCAAGGTATGTACACTCTGGTTTATTTTCGTTCTACCAGAAGGACATGACCCGCTGTCTCTGTTCGCGAACAGGTACCCTCATTGATCTTCATCAAGCCGTTCATAACATTTTGTCTTGAGGACCCAATGAAATCTCTTTCAGCAGAGACGATCGCGTTTCTACATTTCAATTGAGTTCCCATAACAGAACTAGTTATTCGATAAATATTCATACCTACAAAACCACAAATTGCAGTTTAGTAACTGCTGTTTAATTTAGACTTGGATAACATGGAATTTCACATTTTGTCACGAAATCAAGAAAACAGGCATTCTTCATGTCCCAAAACCCTAATTACACATGGCTGTGAAACGTGGGTCAGCTTAAAACGAAAATAGCGTTTTCAACAACTGCATGCTTGAAGTGTTTAGTTCATTTAAGTTGACGATTCCAGCCTGTGTATCACACTGTTGTTGATGTTACAACAATTATCTGTGATGACTTCTATCAACTTGTGCCATAACCACATCACCTCGACGCTCCATGGTATGACTTAAGATATGTAAAGGCGGTTGAACCATAACCCACTGACGAAATATCATGTAACAATTACTTCATATCTTATCTATGTTCAGAAACAAAAGTGTCATTGTGATGTTTTAAGCTCTTCTTTAACAGGCTATGCCACATTGTACAACATAAGACAGGGCCGCAGTCTTAATTTCATCATCTGTAAGTAAATTTCAATCATCATGAGTATACCATCAAATACAGACCTCTGTTGGAGAGTGTAGCTCGAAACCCAACTTCATTAATGACGCATCATGTAGTTTCGTGCACTTCACTCAATCCAATATCAGACATAATTTTCTTTGGGGTTTTCATGATGATAGATAACTCACTCGAAAAAGGTCTTGATATATCCGATATCACATTTGTTATATCCTAATCATAATTAACACTTATATATTTTGGGGCATCCCTGACTTGTTACTCGCCAAATGAAGGCCAATAACGGTTTGGATCTCACAAATTCCGATGAAGCCAGTTGAAATGATGACCTTTTAAAATTGTAATACTAATATAATAATAGTTCTAGTCCGCTTCTATGGTACTCATATCCAGGCACATTATTACTTTCCCTTCGTCTGTTATAATTGTCGTGTAGAACAATGTTACGTTTTTTGTGATGGGATTATAATCACTCTTTCTCAAACATTTTGAATGAAATATATTTAGATTCTGCCCCAGCTAGATTTCTTGTGGATGTGCCCTTTTCACTCACTGTTGGATGCGACCGCCTCCGTGGTGTAGTGCTTAGAGCGTCCGCCCGGAGAGCGGAAGGTCGCGGGTTCGATCCCCGACCGCGTCATACCTAAAGACTTTAAAATATTGTACTTGTTGGTCCCTGCCTGGCGCTTGGCATTAATGGGTACATCAAGAACTGGTCGGCTCGGAGTCAGTATAATGTGTTTGAGTGGGGTATTCATGCTTCACTGCAGCATGGTATCTCAGTGGGCTAACACTATAAAACCAGCTTCAGTCTGGGCTAGTACAAGCAGCCGCACATACACATACACATGCATGCACGTCGTCATATGAGCGAAATATTCTCAAGCACAACGTTAAACCCAATTTCACCTCACCTCACCTCACCTCACTGTTGGATGCAAGAGTTACATGACCGACCCTTAACACTCCTTGCAAAGCATCAGCGAGCCTTTCCTACCCTAGCTGGTGAAGATCCGGATTTCAACAGTTTGAATCTGGTGGTCCGGCCACCGCCTTGGCGAGGGAACTCTTCACGCATTTACTCGTCTGCACCACCGCCCCACACCTGTGAAGATCCGGCTTAGAATTGGTTTTCGGGAATCTATACTTGTCGTAAGGGGCGGCTGACGGAATGGCGTGGTCAGACGTCGTTGACACATGTCGTCGTATCCCATTTGTGTAGATCGATGCTCATGGTGTTCATCACTAGAGTGTCTAGTCCAGACTCGAATATTTAAAGACCGCCATAGAGCTGGAATATTGCCGAGTGCGGCGTTAAGCAACAAACCAACCAGCCACCACCCAACAGATGTGAATGTGCATCATTTATAAGACCTCGTTTTAACCATTTCGTTATTTTCAAAATCAGTAGTTTCAGTGGTCCAAAGAAGGATAAATTGTGCCGAAACATGCTGCTTTAGTATATGATGTTATAATAGAACTGCAGAACCAGTAAATAGATTGGAAATGGTTATATACTGACCTTGTCTGAAATTGTTTCAATTCAACTCCTACGGACAAACGCCCCCAAAATAGATCAATTTTGAATCTGCAGTGTTCTTTAGTCTGCAGGGTTAAATATGTATATGTGTGTTTAACATAAAATGTATTGATCATTGCTATGCTGCAGTATTTATATATATTTAATTAAATCGTTTACTATCCATACCATTCACAAATACGTTTTTTAATCAACACACACGAACGGACAAATACCTTCCCCACACAGCGAGTGACATAAAACTGTGTTCAGTGATTGAAGCGGACGTAGAAGTTACCGGTTCACGTTCTGTCTGTTGAACACTTAAATGTAAAAATATCGCCAAACAGCACTTTTGTCTGTCTCATTCTTTATTATTTTGTGTTATGTGAGTTTAGAATACCTATGGTGATAGTTTTATAGTGAAATGATGTTGAAACATTCCTATAATTAGGGAGCAGTAGTGTCTATTTCTGACCGCCGTCACAAGAAACTAGGTCAAACTCAGCTGGGTGAAAAAAGTATTTAAACCAGTGGTTATTTGTTTACCAATGCATGTAGAAATGTATGACAAACAATTTAAATACCCATCTGGATAGTATCATGTCGTTATTATTACTATCTAGGGCACGAGTATCGTTGTATTTACAGACGGACGAAAATGGCAGCCGAACATGTAGTGCGCTGCTTTGGAATCACTGACACGGGACAAACAATACAATGATATATTGTAGGAAATACAGTTGCTAAACTCAATAAAATAACAATTGTATATTTCCAGGTCCTAAATTCCAACTGGACGCTGGTCGAGTCAACACAGACTGCTGCCATGTTACTACAGACGGTGAGCTAGTCGGCCGCCCGCCCGCCACACAACACACGGACAGTGGCAGGCTACAGAGATTGTGGGGCACGTGTAGCTCCACCCCCATCCCCCTTCCTCCATCCCGCTCTAGTGTCACCCCTGTCCCCCACACAACACGATACTGGGAGACCAACACCAGGGTGGGTGTGGTGGGTGGAGTGTGGTTGCCTGTCCTGGAGGTGGGTGTTGGGGAGGAGAGCCAGGTAGACAGTGGGGTGTGTGTTTGTCACCAGCGCCGCTCCTGGTGTGTCAGTGTAGGGAGCTGTGACACACACCGGGGAGTCTCTGTACCATGGTGTATCTGGCGGGGGAGGGGGGGAAGTGTTACAGAAACACAATGTCTGACACACCCGGCACACAGGCCACCCTCCACCTATGGCGTTGTGTTGGATGTCGGGAGGGGTAGAATAGGATTTATTGACGTAGACAGGTCGGTTGTTTTAGGGAAAGTTGATGTGGAGTTCAAGGAGGATCTTCTCCCTGTGTTTTCTGTCTGTCCGTTCAGTGACTGCACAGTAAACATGAAGGTGGTCAGTGGGGAGGAGATCCTCATGTCTGACATCAAGAAATCACTCATTAATGAAGCCCTGGCCTAAGAAATAAACTAAACATGACCCAGTGTAAACTTGTAAATATCACACATCAACTTTATCAGACAAATTCAATACAACAGAACTGAAAGAAGCGGACATAGAAGTTACCTGTTCATGTGTTGTATGTTGTGTACAACAATGTAACAAGGTTAGCTAAATATGTCGGTTTTCTACATGACACTTTTCATTTGTGTACTAGCAGCATTTTACATCCACACAGGAGTATTGTTATGATTATTATTATGTGATAACTGATCAGTTTATGAAACATTTCCCACATTTCTGGGACATGTCACAACTAACAACTGAGTTGATGACTGAGTAAATGTTGTTTCAAATCATGAATATCTTGACATATTGCGTTACTACTCTGTGAAATAAACAATTTAAATACCCATATGTAGAGGCTAGAGATTGAAATATAATATTTGTAGCTGTAAAATAGACATGTTTATGTCAGTTCAGTTAGACAATGAAAGTGATTGAAGCGGACATACAATGTCCCAGTTTAAATGTGCCATAGTACTTGTGTCGGGAGAGAAATGTAATTACTAAACTGTCTGTCTCGTTATTCTATCAGTCCTGTTGTGTTTGAAAATAATTTAAATTCCCCACAGAGGGTTTGCTATGTGTTGTTTTTTCTTGGTCAATTTATCCCGATGTACATTTATTTGTGTGTATATAATTGAAAGTTGAATTGTGTGTGAGTTACTGTCGTGAAACACTGGGTCTACCTCTGACAAAGGGGTGTGTAGAGATGGATGTGCCACTCTTAGAGTTCCACGCAAATTTTAATACCAGGCTTTATTTTTGCTCGGTATGACATGGGTTGACCTTATACAACACCTACCGTCTATCCCCGTTGTGTTGGACGCAGATCTGCCTACTCCTCCATTAAATTACAAGACTTAATCAGGGGGATAAATCATCACCAGAATCCCGCTTTAGAGAACTGTTTGTATTCAACATAGACTTGTTGACTTACCTGATAAATGTATGTTTTGACTTTCTATGTTTCTTATTGTATGTATATGATAACGTGTCTGATGTTCATTGTGTAAGATATGCTAGGTATTGACTTATGTTATTTTATATGCATTGGAATAAATACTGGCATCAATGCTGACCGATTTTTTTGCTGTTTACCGTGTACAGAAAACTGCCCACCTGAACAATTCTGTTGTATACTTGCTTCACCGATTAGTTTTTGGTGTTGTCTGAATTATGTAAATTAGGTGATTCATATATATTTTATTTAAGTCCGCCGAGAAAGTAGAAATACTGTTCTCTCTAGGATAGTAGTGATCTTTAGATTCTTTTTTAATGTGATTTTACAAATATCAAAACATCTAGGCGGGCCTAAGAGAAATATATTGTACGTTTCGCTTTATCGATTTAGTTTTGCTATTGTCATTCTTTGCTATTGCCAGTCTGTAGGTGACCCGAAAGTGAAACTGTTAAGAGGTTCAATAACAATTCTTTCTGGGACTACGTAGGATCTATATATTTCATTTGTCATTTATATATCCAAACAAAATCTAAATTTACCTGTAAAAATATATGCTCTATTTAACATAGATTTTCAATGTAGACGGTTGTTAATGATGTTTTTGGGTGGTAGTAATAATCGAGATGTAGTTAGTTCGAAGCAGTTTTACCACTTACATTGATGAATGTGTTTTCTATAATCACAATGCTATTGAAGATGAAGTCCATGTCGTGTATCACGAAATGAGGATTAATTAATGACACTTTAAACATGGTAATTAATATTCACTTAAGACGTTTCCGCATATCTCCAGATGTTAATGTAATAATTGTAAACTGTTCTGTAACGTGTATTTTCTTACTGTATGTTACTGTAACTGCCACTTCCTTTCCCTATGCAAGTTGCAAACAAACAGACTTTGTACCATGAGTCTTGAAGCCATTATACAAAATAAAACACCGTCTGTCTGTCTGTGTCTCTGTCTGTCATTATTATATTATGTCAAAATATTCCAGTCAGAATAATATTATTCAGTTAGATGCATAATTATACGTATGACAAACTCATAACGTCCATTTTTAACCCCCGCAACGCGTTTTCCGAGAGTATTCAAATGGCCTCCGTCCGTCTGTGCACATTTGTCTTTCCCGGAGCTGAACTTTAAAACTGTTCAATATTTCTTCACCAAACTTGACACATCGATAGGTCTGGTGGTGTACTGGTGCCTTTAGGTAGTTTTGGATTTCTGATTAAAATATATTTTGCGTTTCCATGGCAACAAGTTTGACTTCGACAGAAATTGGTGGTAGTGCTCTTTTCCGGTGCAGAACTTTAAAAAAAACCTTTCTGCACTCTCCTTCCTATTTGCACTATAGTCACGGACTTGGGCGACACATATCATTGTATCCCAGATGGATGCTCATGCTGTTGATCACTGGATTGTCTGGTCTAGATTCGATTATTTACAGACCGCTGCCATATACCTGGAATATTGCTGAGTGGGGAATAAAACTCTCACTGATATACACCAAAACATTTGACATAGTCATAACCAGTGGACATATAGATAAAGAGTATTTTGCCATTGCGGGGAATATTGTTGACTTTGTCTTCTTCTTATACCATATTTAGATCATAATATATTATATTCATTATTATATCTTTTACCAGTTGTATTTCATTCCATTCAATTAAATTTTTTCACCAAGGAACAGATACATCACATAGTGGGTCAGTCTACAGTATACACTTAAAAACAAAAGGTATTGGGCCAGTCTACAGTACACACTTACATACATGACGTAGTGGGTCAGTCTACAGTACACACTTACATACATGACGTAGTGGGTCAGTCTACAGTACACACTTACATACATGACGTAGTGGGTCAGTCTACAGTACACACTTAAATGACGTAGTGGGTCAGTCTACAGTACATACTTACATACATATCGTAGTGGGTCAGTTTACAGTATACACTTACATACATGACGTAGTGGATCAGTCTACAGTACACACTTACATACATGACGTAGTGGGTCAGTCTACAGTATACACTTACATACATGACGCAGTGGGTCAATCTACAGTACACACTTACATGACGTAGTGGGTCAGTCTACAGTACACACTTACATGACGTAGTGGGTCAGTCTACAGTATACACTTAAAAACAAAAGGTATTGGGCCAGTCTACAGTACACACTTACATACATGACGTAGTGGGTCAGTCTACAGTACACACTTACATGACGTAGTGGGACAGTTTACAGTACACACTTACATACATGACGTAGTGGGTCAGTCTACAGTACACACTTACATGACGTAGTGGGTCAGTCTACAGTATACACTTACATACATGACGTAGTGGGTCAGTCTACAGTACACACTTACATACATGACGTAGTGGGTCAGTCTACAGTACACACATACATGACGTAGTGGGTCAGTCTACAGTATACACTTACATACATGACGTAGTGGGTCAGTCTACAGTACACACATACATGACGTAGTGGGTCTATTACATACGTAGTAAACAGGCTACTACACATACATGATGTAGTGGGTCAGTCTACAGTACACACATACATGACGTAGTGGGTCTGTTTACAGTAAACACTTACATACATGATGTAGTGGGTCAGTCTACAGTACACACTTACATGATGTAGTGGGTCAGTCTACAGTACACACTTACATGATGTAGTGGGTCAGTTTACAGTACACACTTACATGATGTAGTGGGTCAGTTTACAGTACACACTTACATACATAATGTAGTGGGTCAGTTTACAGTATTCACTAATATACATGACGTAGTGGGTCAGTCTACAGTACACACTTACATAACGTAGTGGGTCAGTTTACAATATACACTTACATACATGACGTAGTGGGTCAGTCTACAGTATACACTAACATACATGACGCAGTGGGTCAGTTTACAGTGTACACTTACATACATGACGTAGTGGGTCAGTTTACAGTATACAATAATATACATATAATATAAATAAAAGATCAATATTCTAACCCGGACCTTCACGGGTCCACGTTATTTAGACCAAAAGGAAGGATAACAATATCTTGATGAACAACGTCTTTATTACAGTGCGAGCCACGTTTCAATGTAGGTTCTAACACAAGCAAGTGTCAGTTTTGTGTTCAAAATGGCATGTATTTTGAGGCTGTTTTTTCAGGACTCGGAAATGTTAGCCTGTTAACTCCCGCGATTCAGTGTCAGCATTTAACGGTATGTGTGATAAACATGACGTTTCTTTTTTTCATGCTGAAAATACGTTTTCTTTTTATCTGCCATTGAAGATGCTTAGTGAAGTTCAATACATTGTTGTAGGTCTTCCTACACTGTATTAATGGAGGGGGGTGAATATAAACTCATGTGTCATGGGCGGAAAGGCAGTGGGGCTGTTTGGCTCCGAGTAGTGTTGCGTAGTGTTGCACAATGTGCGATAAGTTGGGAAAATGGTATTATAGCCACTTCAGCATGGTTAATAGACTGAATTTGAGAAAGGTTATTTTTCTTGACATTGGCAAAAATGTCTTCATATTTTACGTGAGCTCTTTCTATTAGTCATAACTTGAAGTTGTGGGTATAGAAAAATGTCCAATAAAGAAGGTCTGAAAAAATATAGAATAAAACAATGGTGAAGGTGGGATCGATCCAGTAACTTTATGGTACGAAGAAACCATAAACTGTGACTTCCGGACCACTCGATGGGTCGGTGGATAAATTCAATGGAGGGGACGGTGGGGTGGGGTAGGGTACCAAGAAACCATAAACTCTGAGTTCCGGACCACTCGATGGGTCGGTGGATAAATTCAATGGAGGGGACGGTGGGGTGGGGTAGGGTACCAAGAAACCATAAACTCTGAGTTCAGGACCACTCGATGGGTCGGTGGATAAATTCAATCGAGGGGACGGTGGGGTGGGGTAGGGTACCAAGAAACCATAAACTGAGTTCCGGACCACTCGATGGGTCGGCGGATAAATCCATTCGAGGGGACGGTGGGGTGGGGTGGGGTGGGTAGCCTAGTGGGAAGACCCGGGTTCCATCCTCATCCTCACACCCCTCCCGGGCACTGTCACAGCAGTAGTTCACATTTTGCTGGGATACAGTATCCATGGATATTATGGATAAAGCCTGTACGCCTATGACACTGTGTGTATAAAGTCCTACAATGTACAACATTAGAAAGGGACACACGGCCGGCCGGTCAGCCGGCCTTCCTACCTACCTTCCAAACCCATGTGATATGAGTGATTTCCCCTCTCTACCATTCATACAATGTAGAAAGAGCGTGTTTCAATGTTGCACTGTACACTGTTTGTTGTTTTTTATGTCGCACTCAACACCTTTCCAGCTCTATGGCCGCGGTCTGTAAATAATCGAGTAGAGTCTTACACGACTGGCATTTCTGGAAACCTTTTATCATTACGAGGGCCTCTGATAAGTGATCAGAACTTTTGATAATTGTTTACACTGTAGATGTTCATGATTCAACCTTCTTTATTCAGTATCAAAGGCCTGCAGTCCAGAGTACATGTATATAAGTAGTGTACATATAGCCAAGTCACAATGTATATCATTTACATTTATAATGGATAAGTTTCCCCATTACAAGAAGTAAATGAAGCGTTCGTAAAATTGTCGGTTGTCTCCCTTAGCTGTTTGATTTGTGTGCACTTCAGAATATACAGCGCTAAAGATTCTAACCAAATTTACTAACGTCAGGAAATACTCATTTTATCCGGCGGCCATATGAACAACGTTGGCTCGTCACGCCGTCTCTTGGGTAG